GATAGCTGAATAGATAGATGAATGGATAGATGAATGGATAGATGAATCGATAGATGAATATATAAATAGATAGATAGACAGATAAACAGATAGACAGACAAATAAATCGATAGATCGATCGATCGACCGATGGATAGATGGATACAGTAGATGGATGGGTTGCTAGATAGCTAGAGAGAGAGAGGCAGGCAAACAGACAGACAAACAAATGTCATATACAGTGTGTATATAATAGTCAGACAGTCAAAGTACAAAAGAAAATAAACGAAGAAAACGGATATCAAAGAAGCTAGGCAAGGCATCTTTAAAGGTTGCCCTTGTTCCTCCTTGTTTCTATTGTTGTTCTGTCTATATATCATGTGAATCTGTGGCGAGCAGCTGAGTTATCTGCTCTGAGTCGCCCCCTTTCGGGTCCCTGCATCGTCCCCCGAAAGGCCTCTTGCAAGCTGAAGTGTGCAGCAGCTGCACCTGAAGCAACAAGAGAACATACTGGCGGCAATGAAAATGCATAAGTACAACTTGATCTGTATAGCCAAATTTCTTTCACCCTCTTGGTTGCAAACTGTTGGATTCCATGGGCTCCTCCGAATACCGACGGATTGACGATAGTTGATTTTTGCAGCATTCTGACACACAAGAAGTGTGAGTAGTGCAGGTTTAAGTGAGACATCAGTGAAGATAGTGAAGACATGGTTTTCCATCACTGTCCTGACCAGCGTGACATTCCTGACGATGGCTGTTTTGTTTGGTAAGCCGTTTTTGTACTTGATTGCTTCCCACAAGCCGCCAGCCTCACTGGGACTTGTGGCTGTACCTGGCAGCCAAGAGTCATCAGTCGTGCCACGCGCCTGAAAGGTCACATCAGTAGGAATTAAGTGGGATCAACTTTCTTGCCTGACGCAGCTGGCCGCGCCCAAAGACTTTCCAACTCCTCCATGCACTTGTAAGTGACGTCAATGAAGCAAGGTGGTGTGGGGTGTGTGAGAGACCAGACAGGCCCTTTGGCTCCAAAAATTTGCGAAGGATGGCATCTCAGATGCACGCAGGGTGCGAAGCAGGGTGCTCAAAACGGACCAGCCACATTAATTAACACAATACACCGGCATAGAGCCCAAAGGGCAACTATTTTCAAAAAAACGTGAGTGGGCCCAATCACACGCCGGCAAACAAGTGGGGAGACTCATGGTTCCAAGAACACCAAATCATTGAAGATGTTGTTCCAGCATATGTGTTATTTTGAGGGAAACAATTGATGTTGCGTGTGAAAGCATGCGCGCACAACACGCAAACAGTACAACAGGATGTTGCGCATTATAGAGTAAACCTAAACTAGGTAATCCGAACCCACAAAGACCCGCAAATTGCCCACTTTAAAAATAGTTTTGGTGGTTCATGTCCCCTAATTCTCTAGTTGGGCACCAGAACCCCTCCAGTTAATCCGAGCAGCATCGGCGCCCTGTCTCGAAAGCACGTGCAGCCAGCTCACAGCAACGGCACCAGCACCAAGCACCAGCACCGCCACTGTCTCGAGAGCGAGCACAGCCAGCTCGCAGCAATGGCACCATGCAGCAGTGACTCCCTGTCTCCACAGCGCACACTGCCAGCTGACAGCAGCAGCGGCACCACACTATACCACACACACCAACCCTGTCTTCCTAGCGCAGATAGTGAGCTCACAGCACCGGCACCAGCAACAGCACCCAGCACCGACACCCTGTCGCGACCATAGCTGTCGCTATCTGGGGAATAGAGGCGTTACACCAGCATAGACCCAGATAGCTAGGCACAACCCCACGACTTCTTGACTATGCGACTGGCTGGAACAAGAATGTACGCAGCCTGCACAGCCAGCGTACGGCACCTCCACAGCGCGCACAACCAGCTGACGTCAGCCAGCTCACAGCACCAGCGCCCAGGACCACAACACCAGCACCAGCACCGACGCCCTTTCGAAAGCGTGCGAGCAAGAACCCCATTTGGTGAATAACAACGTATGATCTGCGCGTGTACGTTTACGCGCGCAAAAGTACGCACGCAAACGGCAAAGCCTGTAAGCGTCACTGGCCCAAGGCCAAGCAGTATCCAGTGCCACCATTGACTTTGTAGCACGCTTGAAGCAGAACGATAAGGCCGTATGATCTTGTGCGCACACAAGTATGCGCGCAAACGGCAAAGCCCGCAGGCTTCACTAGCAGTATCCAGCGCCACTATTGACTTGGTAGAATGCTTGAAGCAACGATCTCTAGAACGATAAGGCCATATGATCTTGCGCGTATAAGTTTACGCGCACAAAAATATGCGCACAAACGGCAAAGCCCGTAGGCTTCACTCGCCCAAGGCCAAGCAGTATCCAGCACGACTATTGCGTGTGTAGCATGCTGAAACATGCTGAAACAATGGTGGTCGGTTGAGAGCCTGACCTTGCGCATAAAACATTACACTATAACAGCACAGCCCTTGACACAGCTGTCGGCCAAAACCGAAATATACCCCACAGCGCTAATGGACAAAGAACGCTCAAGCGACAACACCGTATGTTGTTGCGCGCAGAAGTTCCTGCAGCGCTGGCGCTCCGGAACCCAGTTTCCACCACGCGCGCTGCCAGCTCACAGCACCCAGCACCATGTCTCCGCCACGCGCGCAGCCAGCTCACAGCACTGGCGCCCGGAGCGCACAGCCAGCTCACAGAGGACGGGCGCAGCCAGCTCACCGCACTGGCAACCTGTCTCGAAAGCGCGCACAGGCAGCTCATTGTTGTTTGAATTACACCAGCATAGACCCAGATAGCTAGGCAGAATCCCACGACCTGTTGACATGCGACCCGGCACGCTCGCCTTCTTACTGCCAAGCACCAAAAACACTGACGTCACTCTCAATGTGCAGACACGTGCGCTCTACACTCTACAGTACATATGCAACCATCGTGACAGTAGCAAGCATCTTCTGGAGTCTGGAGCAAGTCCCACACGACAAGAGTAAATTCACTTGTCTGAGCTTTTCCAAATCAAAAACAGCTCTCACCCTGAACGCTGGCCTTTCGACACATCTCCGCTTCAACGGGCAATGGGACAAAGGTTCCCACCACACCATCTGCCTCATCAAACGCGCGCATTCCGTGGGGCAGTGTTTCTGTCTCCATGAAAAACCAGTCGGAGGCGGCGGAGAGAGGGCAGGCAAAGAAGAAGGAAGAAGAAGAAGAAGAACCAAGCAACAAGAGGTTTAAAACAATATTGTACTATGACTAAGACTCAGACCAAACGAAGCACAACAGGAACAGAGAGCACAACAGGGAACAGAGAAGAGAGACGAAGACAAGGCAGAATATAGTGCACAGGGTACAACAAATGGGCACTGTGATGAGCCCTCACCAACGCATCTCTTGGATTAACAGCATCAGTGCTGACTACCCCAACCAGAACAAAAGTTGCACGCCGAAATTCGAGTTTCAACTTACAACGAGATCCAGAAAAAGTCTCGAAGCATGACAAAGACATCACGGCATATGATGAAACGCCATATACAGCCTGCGCCGCTTTCAACAAGGACTGGCGCAACATCCAGCGCAAGCAACACATAGTGCACCTATGGACACTGGAGCGTTCAACAGAGACAAAGGCAAGTATATACTACAAATGATTAGGCCCTTGGTTAGGAGGATTTGGCAAGCGAAGCCGAAGTCACAAAGGAGTGGGCAAAGCAATCTACTCAACAGCAGCAAGGGCTATGGGCAAGAGCACAGACAAACCGTCCACGAAATGCCACAAGCGTGGCAACCATGGCCACGTCACTCGCGATTGCAGGCACGCCGTCTACAACATGAAGCCGGACAGCAGTATGGTGGAACGACCAACAGTACTACAACAACACGTGGTGGCAACAAGACTTGCAGTGTAACAAGCACCGGCGCCAACGCCGCAACAAACACCAGTACAACCAGCACCTTCAGAGGTACACTGGCATCCCCCGTGCCTCACAGGCAGCTGCGAGTTTCCCCTTGGTTGGGGGTCTATGTTTGAGACATTCCAGAGACTTGAGTCAGGGCCCTTGGGCGTAGACTTTATCAGTGGAAAAAAGATCCTTGCACTTGGCCATCAGCTGTGCACCACCAAAAGAAAGAGAGAGCGCGAGAGCGAGAGAGTGCGAGAGCGAGCGAGTGGAGGCCAAAAGATTGAAAGAAAGAATTGTGTCCTCTGCCTGGTGACGAATCTCTGCTTGCCGGACCGCATATCCGAAGCGCATGGCCTAGGTTGGGAAAAGAATTGTCCAATTCTTCATCAAAGGGGTCAACCTTATGCTAGACAGCGCGGGCAAACTGGTTTGCTATTTCTCCGCCGGCCGACCGGCGGGCTATAGTGCAATCGGCCGGCCGGCCAGCTAGTACGTGATCGGCCGCGATCGGCCGGCCGGCGGGCAATGTACATCGTTGATGCGATAGCTGCTAGCGTCTATAGATACTTGACTGGGTGGGCGGCCGTAGTGGTCGTAGTCGTAGTTGTATATGGTCGTATAGTCGTATAGTCCTGGTCGTAGTCGTAGTCGTCGTGGTGGTAGGTAGTAGTAGTAGTAGTAGTAGTAGTAGTAGTAGTAGTAGTAGTAGTCGCAGTAGTGGTAGTGGTAGTGGTCGTGTGGTAGTGGTAGTGGTCGTGTGGTAGTGGTAGTGGTAGTGGTAGTGGTAGTGTAGTAGTGGTAGTGTAGTAGTAGTAGTCGTCGTCGTCGTAGTAGTCGTCGTCGGTAGTAGTAGTAGTAGTAGTAGTAGTAGTAGTAGTAGT